CCCCCCCCCCCCCCCCCCCCCCCCCCTCCCTCCTTGACATGATTTATCGACATGATGACCCCGGGTTGTAGGGGCACGGGGTGCAAGGGTCTGTCTCTGCGTCGTGTTATCGTGGCTATCTTAACGTACAACACAGCCATGCTTCTTGAACGGGCACTTCTCTTCGTTATAAATATGACTATATATATAATAACAATAATATCACTTTTATCATTGTTTCACTGGTGGCTTCTTGAGCCGGCACTGCTCATTGTTCGATCCATTCGAGTGGGAGCGCTGATGAGCAAAAAAAAAAAAAAAATCAACAGTCACCAACAACCCCTCAACCGGCATAACGAGCAGGGCGTACCGGCTGTTCGACCACGGCCCCACCTTCCGCTACGAGACGAAGCAGAACATGCTCGACGGAAGCCTGCTGTGGAGGTTTGTTGGCCTCGATGCCAAGACCCAGCACGACCTCACCAGAGCCATAGGGACGACGGTTGACCGGGTGATGGCCAACTTGCTGGACATTGATCTCGCGTCCCTATTTTAGCGCGACCATGCCGTTGAAAGGCGGTGGTAGGCATGTTGTTGCCTAGTCTTTGGCCTTGTGCTCCTCTGTTCGGCGTTCATGCCGGGTCTGGTTCGGTAGAGACACCGTTTTTTCTCTTCTTAATCTCGCGGGACATCGACCTGGTACACACCTATTTTTGTACTCCTATTTTGGCGTGTTGGTGCTGTTGAAAGGGTCGTCTTGGGGATAGGGATGTTGTTGCCTAGTTTGGCTCGTGGACAATGACCTGGTGCTCCTCTTTTCGGCGTGTTCTTTCGTGTTGTTCGAAAGGGTCGACCTCTTCGGTAGGGGTGTTGCTGCCTGTTTTTGTCCTACGGGACGTTGACCTTGTGCTACTTTAGCGCGCTCCTGTTGTTGAAGAGGTTGGGTTCGTAATAACTGTTGATTCTCTTCTCTTCGTTAGCTGCCTGAGCATTGAACCTTGTTCTTCTCTCTGTAGCGCCCCCATGTTGTCGAAATTGCCGGCTTCGGAAGGGGTTCATTTGCCTGTGTGAAAACTGCGTGCCATAGTTGCGTTGGGCCTACAACCCTCCCGGTTTTGGAGCATTCACGTTGTTGGAAGAGGTCGGGTTCGGAAGGAAGGACTCTTGGTTGCCTCTGGCCATTTGGCAGCCTTTTCGTTGGATCGCTTTCCAGGGTTCATGAGGGCTTGACCCTTCCTGTCCAGCACCTCCCCCTCTCTCTCTCTTAGCCCGAGGAAGAATAGAGCTGATAGAACGTTGTTAGTCAAGGATATTGGGCCGCTGCAGTTGTGGGCCGCGTGAGCGTCTGGTTTGCTGAGTGATGGGCCTCGCGTCTCTCCTGTGCTATTTCTCCGCCTGCTACGGTAGTCGCGAGTGGTACATCACATAGGACGGCCCCTAGTACTACGCGACCATTGACTCTCTTGTGGTTGTGCTCGACACGTCTGCCTCGTGCCTCGTGTAGTTTTTTGTGACCAACGAACCCCCATCTTTTCATCTTAGCTTCTTCGTGGATTGGTTGTTGCTTTTCTTCGGAGATTATTATTTAGTGTCAGATGTTACTGGACCTGTTGAACTTGAGGTGAAGATTGTCGTTGATCGCGAGGGGGTATAGATGGTGGTTGGTGACAGACCACCCAACCAAGTCGAAACCTACTCTAGCTGTTGATCGTCGTTGCACGCGCGCTGGTGGCGTAGTGGCGATACGGTTTTTAAGATCCCGGGGATGATGATGATGACGTCACGATACCATGTCGGGTAGTGTGTGTTCAGGACGATCTTCGAAGCTAGTTGCCCCAAGCTGGAAAGAGAAGCTCTGACGTTGGAACATAGAGTACGCGTGGTCTCTTGGTATGCAAATGGCCACGATACCGCTGCTACAAGTAGCAGGGAAGGTTGAGCTTGCAGCTCTCTTCTGCAAGGCAGGGAACAGGCAAATGCATTTCACTCTTGTACTATCTCGAGCGAAACGAGGTCGCAACGCTTGGATGCGTCGCTCAACAACGAGCGTTGCATAGTGAGGCAAAACAAAAATATTTGCAGCTTCTCATGTTTCACTTTGGGGTGGGGGGAGGCACACTCTGCGCACACCTTCGTTCTATTTTGTGCGCCGGAAGATCACCGAAACAGGACTGTACGTTTTCTCCCAAAAGTGAAAGGTTGCACCTCAGAAGTACACACCCCTAGCGTAGGATCACTCTCCGGTGCCAGTCTAATCGAGCAGTGTGGCGTGGCGTTCACTTTGGGAGCTTGGCTTGTCGTGCGAGGAGGTTGACATGTTTTGTTTTTGTTTTTTCGAATGAAATAACGCGTACTGTATTCGACAACCGTCTAGATAAACGCCAAAAAGACATCCGAGCACACGACCGACTTGATTTGACACATAATTCCAACACCTGACATCGAGCGATGCGAACTATCTAGTCTATGCTTGTAGCATACTACTGCTGTACCACGACGATCTACGGTAATATAGCGACATCGTTCACAAGTTTATTAAACGTGCCTGGCACCTCACTCTAAGTGCTAGACAGAAAATAGACTTTCACTTCTGAATACCGAAGTTTCGAGAAGGTGTCCGATAGCGGGCGAAATCATACCCCCTTTACAAAATAAACCTCTCAAGGCAAACCATGCCATCAGTAGCACACGCACCAGGAGAGCGGACAGGCTCCTTCCATAGCGACAGACTGGTGCTCGGTGATCGATACCAGATACCCCTCTGCAGCCAGAACAACACATGTACTTTAACTAGAATACCGAGAAACCTTCCTCTAACCAAACCCCGCATCCCCAAAACGTAGTGGTGACGAAACACGTCGGACAGTACACATTTTGTCTAGTGACACGGTGCTCGCTCCCTTGAATGCACTACCAAGATGCAAGCCCGTTTATTGTTTCCGGCACAAGTGCGCACCCCCAACAGCCCCGTACTCCCCTCCCTGCTGGCAAATTTAACATTTCCCAAAACACGGTCTCTCGAATGCATCCGGAGCTCCCTCTCTACTTGCAGGCTAGCACAAGGCGTCTTCATTTGCTACTGGCCAGAATTGTGCAATCAGCCAACTCGGCGAATTTCGCTTGCCTCAATCACGCCCCCATACCTTGGCGCCTCCCCCAACTCGCGCGCAATCCCAACCATTCTCGGTCTAAACAAATCCCGTTGATGCGAGATCGCGGTCTGAAGATAATGGCCCGCACGACCATGAGGACCCCGTTGATGCGAGATTGCGACCTAAAGAAAACGGCCCGCACGACCATGAGGACCCCCCCCAGGCATCCCCAGTGCCAGCAGCGGACAGCATCCAGTCCCAGACGATTAAATTGGCGCCAGCACCCCCACCACGATGATCTGCTCAACCCACGGTTATCCTGGTTGTCATCAGGGAGAGCAGCTGTTCTCGACGACGGCTATGCAAAAACACGCCCTTGACGGGAAAACACCCCTCCCTCCGCGTGGCTTCCCATCGATTGTCTCAACGTCGCCGTGTTGTCGCAGCAGCAGCAGCAGCAGCAGCAGAAGAAGAAGAGGATGAATCGGCCGTAGCCTCGTCTGGCGGCAAAGGCGACACCCCCAGTACCACCTTGATGGCCTCGAAAGACCCGAAGCCAACGGCCGTGAACAGGCCCGACATAACAACTCGAGGTTGGAAACCCGCTGCAGTAAAAAGCGGGGAGAGGGGGGGGGGGGGGGTACTCTTATGTTTCGCATGCCTTAGCGGTTAGACCATTGAACTCGCACCCCTACAAAGCCGGGACGGAGCACGCGGGGTTCTCACCGGGCCAGGGGGGGTGTATTCATGTGTTGCGTGTCTTGGTAATATGACCATTGACCACGCGTCCTCGAGAGGACGGAGCATTGATTGCTCGCACAGGACAGATGGCCAATCGTTCCTTTCTACCTTGCCAAAGGTGGCTCGAAAGTGTCTCTCCTATCCTATCGATATCACTTCCCGCCTTTTCTGGCCACTTCCTACGCCCCGGACGGCGTGGTCGCTGCTCCAGCGCCCGTGCGCGACGGCCCCGGCCGTCATTTTCCGCACGAGTGACTCAAAGCTTTCGCGGTGCCAAAATGAAACCAACTGCGGCTGACCAATACAAAGAAAACATACCAGCTGAAAAAGAATATCAGGACGCTTGGTAAACGCACGGCCCGTAGTCTTGGTAACTGACTCGCTGTCACAGGAAAAAATGCGCGAGAGGTTATATTTTGCGGGTGAGTACAGCACCTCTTATCCTTGCCCCACAATGGAATACGGTAGATGGGAGGGAGCCCAAGAAAAATTAGGTTGACAAGGAACTTGGGGACGATGGAAGTTACGGTACCGCAGTGAAATCCAATCTCAACCATAGGTTGACTGATTGGCTGAACAAGAGGGAACATCAGTCTTGGGCTAAAACTCTTGTAGAGGAAACATGAAAATCAATACTCCTTACCGTAGAGGCCCTTCCACCCGTCGTCCGCAACGATAGTTGCCATGTTCTTCGCGAAACCCCTCCCGCCTTCCAGGGAGCCGGTGGCCACCTTGGTAGAAGCAGATTTTATTCAATTCACGGTGGTTCGTTTCACAGAATGAAAGAGAGACAGCGATCACGCTCAAAGAGGCCAACCTCGTGAAACCCCTACACCTATAGTATCAAAAATATCCGAAGCGGGGCAACGTTGCGCCCCAGTGCCCCATAACGCCCGGCGTCATTCGAGTGAACTACGTTGGTCTTGACCTATGACACCCAAGGTTGTGGTGACGCTTCTTCCCTTGAATGCCGCCTACTGCTGTACCACAGCTCCTCGCCCACATCTCGCCATCTTGGCACGCCAAAGCCGCCACACATTTCCTCGCCCGGCACCCTCGAGGCAACTCACCCAACCCTGGGCTTGGGGGACAAGCGATCCTTTCGTTGCCACAGGGTACTGTGCTGGATATCGTCTTGACATGCTCGGCTTTACGGTGAAGGCGTTGCGGGTGGTGAACAAATCAGATCCAGTCTGTGGACCGCGAAGAAGCAACCTCTTTCACACCGGCTTCGCACTTCGATACTAACTCACCCTCGTCTTGAGGACGTCGAAAGGCGTCGTCATCCCACTAGCACACGCGCCCGCCAGAGCTCCCGCCAACAGGTACGCCGGAGGCGCGGACATTAGGCGCGCGGGTCCAATGAAACTTCCAACAAAAAAACGGCCATCAGAAGGCAAACAGCGGGGGGGCGGAGGAGTTACGGAACAGCTGCCGAACCGAGGGGGGGGGGGGTTGCAGGAAACCTTGCTGAAGGTGAGTGAGTTGAACAGGCAAGCGGAGGCCCAACTATCTGCGACAAACCTTCGCGACCCTCCTTGGCTGACAAGGAGAGGTCTGCCGGGCATGACAAATACGCAGGAGGGAAGGGGTGCGTGCTCATGTACACGCGTGCCCTACTCGTTAAACCATTAACCCGGCCGGCCCAGGCGGTTACGTTGTACAAGGGTGGACCAGGAGTTGGTCATCATCCTTGCGGTTGCCGTGCCAAACCAAATGTATGCCATGGGTTGTGGGGGGGTTGCATAAGACCCACACGACAATAGCCTCCCCCCCGCCCTCCCCGGCTCTGTCCGAAAGCCAAGGTCTTATGGTCTGAGGACTACCACATCGGACGACAGGTGACTAAACCTTGCCTCCGCTCCCGAACACTCGCATCTCAGTATTTTCGCGAAAACACACCAGTTTCCAAAACTACACAAACGGAGCTGCTGCGCTACGAACGTTCCTGGGACCGTTCTTCGAATTCCCTCGGGTCTACCTTCCACGACAAGGAGGTCGGGGGGAGGCACTCACAGCTTGATCTCTTCATACAGCGAGAATCGGATAATGGCGCTGGGAACGTTCCTGGAGAGCGTGGCCCAGTAGCCGCGGTAGAGCCCCTTAACCCCTTTCTCCTTCACGGTTCGCCTGACTATCTCCTTGGCGGTTTCTCGAGCACCACCCGCAGCCCCCATCCCCGAAGCCTTCGCTCTCAGAGCAGATTTTGCAGCAGCAGTAGCGGCGGCAGCAGCGGTAGCAGCAGCAGCAGTAGTAGTAGCAACAACAACAACAGCAGCAGCAGCAACAACATCATCATCATCATGAACAGCAGCAGCAGCAGCAGCAGAAGCGGAAGCATCAACCGCAGGATAGAAGGAGCTGACAGAAAACACAAAATAGATCAGAGTGCACACAGGCCATACCTCTCATTATACTAGAATCCCATGCACATGGGTTCCGCCCGTCGTGGCTCAGCTTCGCAATTGTTTCGTGTCTTTTCTTCCGACGGCCAAGATAACTAAAAAAAAACAATTACCTGCAGAGTCTGCTTGACGTACTCCTTGGGGACGAAGATCAGGCTGCTCGCAGCGTTCCCGCACGCCGCGGCCACCGCATGCGCCGCCGCCCGCGCCGCTGGGTGAACCCCCCCGCCCCCGCCGCCTTCCCCCTCGCGTGGCCCCCCAGGACCAGCGGGAAAGTTGTTGGCGGCCACACGCATCAGGCGGGTCTTGACCGCTTCGTAGGTGCCGAAGTAGAGGGCGGAAGACGGCATGGCTCCTACTACCGCGGTCGGGATGCCCGTGTAAATGGCCCACGGGCCTCGAGTTCTAACGGGGACAGGTCCAACATTCGGGGAGCAGAGGTTTCGGGAGGGGGGGGAGGGGTGTAAACGCATGCCGCAGTCACCAGATCATTGACCTAGAGGTGTCGAGGTTGAGCGATATTTTGCGGGCACAGGCTACAATCGCCCGGGGGGGGGGATACCAATCAATCTTCGGAGAGGGAAGCGGTGGGGCTTAACACAATGGTGGGCACGAGAGCCGTGGACCTGCTGCACGCTACTCACACCCACGGACGTGACAGCAGGACGTGGGGACGGTTTGTGCCACTCACGCCGAGAAACATCCCGCGGTGGTGGTGACACGTGGTTCTTCTACAAAAAAATAAAAAGGCCGTGACAAGCCAGCCATCAAGCCATCAAGCAAGCAAGCAAGCAAGCAAGCAAGCAAGCAAGCCATTGCCCGTAAAGGCTGAGCCAGGGCAATCAGTCAAGAGCAAGGCCATGCTCAGGCCAAGCACGCTTCACTCATCGACACATATGAGTGTCTCACCGACAGATGTGCGCCAGCGCATCGCGGGTGCCCTTGAACGCCTTAGGGTTGGCCTGCCGTAACGTCTTGGCCGTGTCGATCGGGAACAAGGCGGCTGCACCCGCCGCGCGTAGACAGAGGACCAATAGAAGAGGGGAAAAATGACATAAGCGTCGGCGCATGCTTTCCCCTCCCAAGAAATCGGAGGGGACAAAGGTTTGAGGCAATCAATGCAATCAAATTACGTTTGTCATAGGCCCGTTGGCGAGAAGGGCGACAAGGGTTGGACGTAAAATGTACATCGATGGGTTGGGTGTTTGATGGCCGAGGACTTGCCTCTTAAGCAGTGAAGTGCAGAGGGGTTCCGTGAAATCGTCAAGGTACAGTGCAGCCCGTTCTCAATTTAGGTCACATTTTTTTCTGTTAACTCCATAGGTTTTCCTCATACGCAGAAAAAAAAAAAAAGCTATCCGGAAGAGCGTCGAAGTACCAGTTCTAAATCGATGTATTCCCAAAAAATTCCATGGGGTGGAATACAGGTGCAAGCCCTTCCGGCACACAAGTTGCCGAGAAACAAATCGGTGTCCCCGTGTCTACTAACGGTAGAACAGGGGATTGTTCTGAGTCTGCGGCTCCTACTTGTACTGGCTTGCCAGGGTCTCGAGGGGGAGCTCCAAAGCACCCTTCGGCTACCGTAGGTTGCATGACGTAAGATATCACACCCCCTGGACCGATTTTCGAAGCTCGATTTCTCGGCAGAAAAAGCAGTGACGGTGCCGAAAGTGGCTGCGTTAGAACCGTCTCGTCCAGAGCTTTCAGATAAGAAATCCTTTGATTTCGGCATCCTATTTGTCGTGGAGTAATCGAGCTTTGAAATTCAGTCCAGGGGGTGTGATATCTTGTGCAACCTGCGGCAAACAACGCCTTCACCTTCCATGACGAGGAAGATTTGAGACAGTCTAATCCCCTCGTGCCCCTTTCGCACCGAAAAAGAAAAACAAGTGACTGATTCAAAGAAGCGAGCAGTGTTCTACTTTATCGGGAAAAAAGGTGAACAATAAGTACTTTGGAAAAGAGCGAACCCCACACCCGATCGATGGCCCTACCCACCCGTCGGCAAGGATTTCCACCTGGCAAATCTTGCAGAGGGGGTTGCGGCTGATGCCCTTCCCTGCGTCAACCTGAACTATCGTCCTGAGAGCTGGGTTAAGCTGCTCCCTTTCCTCTTGGTTTCGTGGACTCCCACACTTGGTTCTGTTCGCTGTTCAAATAAACTGCGACTGTTTCTATTCCCCGGGGAGACTACGGAGTCAGAAGGGTTCACGAGGCTCTGTATCGGCACTATTGAGGCTATCAAAATATCAGTAGTCAGGCACTTGTAGTATCCATGGCCAATTCGAGCAGTGTCGGTGCCCGATATGGTGCTGGTAAATCTGGCGGTCACCTACCGGCACTATTGAGGGAGCACCGCTGCACAGTACGTCGGAATGCTTTGCAGAATGCTTATGTACGGGCTAGTAACTGCCACATGTCTCGCGCATCTGGAAAGACATGAAGGCATTAATGCCAATCTCGCAACGGCAGCAACAGCAGAATGGTGTACACACCGACAGTTTTGCCCACCTGTCGCAATAGCGCCGGCCATCGCCCCAGCCACTGCCATCTTGACATCCCTCACCAGGTGGCAATCCGACCCGCCGCTCTGGTGCAAGGGGGGCAGTGGCACCGTAGGGTCAGCTCAGCACCGCGCAGCGGCAGAGGCGCTTGCTGTGAACCTACTGTACACTAGTTCTCCACGCTACAGGCACGATACGTTTTTGATTTGCCATTCTTTAGATTGCTGCGTGCCAACGTGTTTGATGTGCACAGACTATGTACACTGTTTTTGCAAACGTGGTTTATATGCATTTGGGTGCCTTGACACAAAACCACCACCTCGACCAGGTCTCGAGACGGAAGGGTTCGCCGCGAAAAGCCTCAGCAGCATCGTGACGATGGGCCCTCCATCTCTACCCCTGCTGTGTGCACCACATGTGTACTTGGCATCTATCCCATCTTGTCTGCTGTGATCCAGCAACCGACGGCAGTTTGAACATCGTATTGCGCCGCATATCCCGTCAATAACTCCGCGACCCGCCGGATCATTGTCCCCCTGCCTCTTGTTGTAGTCACCAACCAACCAATACCTGCAGACTTCTGCAACATACCCTGGTGGCCTGCTGCCATCTCACCAAGCAGTCCGATCGTCGAAGGCCTGTGATGCGTGGCATGTGCAATCGATGCTGCTCCGTGCCGTCGTCCCGTACAGCAAACGACGCTATTTGCGAAAGTCGACCGAGAGTGCTGTGACACTCCTTCTTCTTCTTCTCCTCCTTCGTCGCTTCAAGGGATCCATAGGCTTCTGCCTCTAGCAGTGGCGGTCTCTGCGGGTTGGTCGGATGTCGGTGTGCTCCTCCTGCTCCTCCTGCTGACTTCGCCGATCCTTTGCCAACCAGCTGCAACAACAACACGACCGCTGTAAAAAAAACGCATCGACAACTCGCATTGCTGGTGTTGCTTACATGCCTCCTTCCCTTTCGTGTTCTGAGCATCGATCGTTGCTGCGACCGGTACATGAAAGGCATCGTGGGTTCGTCCATCGCTAGAATACTCACAGAGACAGAGGCACACAACACAACGATGATTTTTCCACCGGGGCAGAATGGCTCTGCCGCTGGAGCGGCCGGTACCCCCGTGGGGGAGCTCCGCGTTGATGCAACGGGGGTCGGGGTGTGAGAACCAAAAGTCGCGGTGCTCCCAAGATCTACGAAGATATGGGCCGGGCGGTTCAGGATTGTGTGTGATTCTCCAGGTGCCGATTCGGCAAGGAGGCGGGTGATGTTTACTATGTACCAGAGTACGCCGCCGCAACGTAACGTCTCCTTTTATGGGAGTATATTAAGGTACATTCACGATGCACCGCTGAGTTGATCGAGTACGTTGTGCGCCGTTTCGTCTGGTAAATTCGGTTTCAGGCCAAGAGAGAGCAACTTCCCTCCTATAGCCACTCTTGTCTACGCTGGCTTGCCTTCATCCAAAAAAGTGGCGGATGTGTGTACACCAATGCAGACACCCGCTTTGGGGAGGAGACGGACAATGCCTACTACGTGATGCCGTCTACTACTACTCCTGTGATGCCGGCTTCTCTCATCAGGACGCGTTTCGGGCTGCTAGTTGTGTGCCAAAGCGAGTGCTTATCTCGGGCTACATCGTGTTATCGGTCGCGTCAACGCTGACTGCGCCCCTACTCTTGTGGCATATCTTTGCGTATCGAAAAGTCCCCCAGGCGTATCGGAGCAATCGTAAGACGATCACAAGGATGAGGGTTCTCCTTTCGACAAGGTATTCTGTGCGGGTGGTCATTCCCGGCTTATGAGTGTGGTCTCTTCCTGCTGAGTACACTTCCGTCTTCGACGCATGCATGCGGCATACTACATAGTCTACATTCTCGTACATGCGGCGTGAGGTGAACCTGCGGACGTGTCGTTGAGCAGAGATCGGAACGGTTTTTCTCGGGATGACGACGACGACGACGACCGTAGCAACAGCAGAAATAGTCGAAAATGCTGCCAGAGGAAAGGAACTTCCACGGACGCAGTTTTTCCTAGCAACTTCGTGGAAACAATAGGTTAATAAATGTGAAGGAAAAAAAACGAAACAACAGGCTTCGAGAGTCCATAAATCTCGCGTGCGAAGCTCGCTTCATATTTTCGTGCGAATGAACACGCGGAGGAATCACTTCCGGTTGTCCCGTACGACGAGCCTCTGCATGGCTTTGTTGCGGTAGCGCCCTCAACTCCCTCCGTTCTCTCGTGCCGATTTTCCTTTGCATCCTGCAGCGTGTATGCTTTGGGACATATCGTTCTTGGCATCGTTTTGGCGGTGCATGCCGGTCAACCAGGATGCTCTTATCAAGACGCAGGGTTTGCTCACATGGTATACATGGTGCTGATGCCGTCCATGATGTTCGGCGTCGTCATGCGGTCCGAGTTTTGGTTGGAGAACTTGCCGCACCAGCTGGCCGACCCCGGCAGCTTCGTGGCCTGGTTAAGAAGGGCATCGCGAGATCGCAACCTTTGCTTGATTGTCGCCCTCCTCATCGCGGGAATCATATCGATGCTGGGATTGTTGGCCATGTTCACGTCGCCTTGGCCTCAGCTGCTGGTAGATGTCGTGGTGGTGACCGGGATGATCCTAACGGTGAATAATTGCTCTGTCGAACACCTCTCTCCTTCATCCTTTCCTCATCACATACTGATGATCTGATGTCCTCTTGTTGTTCGCCATGCATGTTGATTCATGGGCAATGCATTGTAAGCCAATGTAGCGTGCTCTATGTACCCGGGCAGCGCATGAGTCATTGCCTTCATCGAAGTATAGGCTTTCAGGGATCGCCAGGGTAAATCTGGCACCAAAGCTATCATCCTCATCTGTCAGGCGGCACGGCCGACAGCTGTACCTAGGGAGGATGGATGCGAGAAGGCTCGACAACTACAAAACCCCAAGCCGGAAGTGTTTCTAACCGCCCGACCAGGCGCTGTCACACGAATCCAACGCCCCAGCAGACATGGCCAGTCAGTGAAGGGGGGGCAGGGAAACAGTGGATACACGTGTGATCCTACTCTTTGCGCCAAGTGTGACGTTCGCTGTCTTAAACAGCTGACTGCCCTGAGCGTGTTCCGCTGCTGCCTTCGCGTCTCTCAAACTCTGCATTTCACTGCACACGAAAAACGCACATGGCCAGAGCACAGTCATCATGTTCGTGGCTATCCAGATCAAGGGCTTCATCGACAACGACATGTCAAAGGTGTGAAGTTCGTGTGGGTAGGTCTTCCAACGCCGTCAAGGTCGGCAGTACACTAGTCCAGAGTTTCGATATATAGACCTGCTACTTGCATGCATAGGGATGGCGTGAGTGAGAGCTTCGAAGAACGGTTGACGAGTCCACGGCCTACATATGTACATTGTACTGACTTCTTTTGTACACGCCGTTGAAGTGTTGGATTGATGAGGATTTACTGTGAGGGTGGGGATCCGCAAATTGTCGAGGAAATCTCACGTGTGTTATTCTGCAGGTGTTGTCGTCGACCATTTTTCCTTCCTGTTCTGATACGTACTTGATGCAAAACGAGAATATTTTCTTCAACGGTATATTTTGGCCATATGCCGCATGTCAGACACCTGGCTGGCACCAGGCAACCCCTGTCAATCCAAACTGCGTGTCCTTGAGCTTCCAAAAACCATCAAACGGCTACCCCATTGTAGGGGGCAGCCTTTTCAGCAACTCTTCTGCCCTATCTGAAGCCAGGTCGGGGTCCTTTCACCCTCCTAATTATCGACCTAGTGCGCGTAAACGCGCTCATGTGAACACCTGTGTGCCTGCCTGCCTGCCTGCTTGCCTACCTGCCTGCCTCCCTGCCTGCCTGTGTGCTTCCATGTCCGTATCAACCACAACGTGCTGAGGATGTCCTTCTCAATACACCCCCTCACGGGCGTGCTACTTTTCTCACGTTGGCTCGACCACGTTGCGTTCCACAGCTGGAAACTAAGCAGCTCTCTTCTCTTCGTCAAAATATAACCGAAACTCACCTAATGTTCTTGTCCTCAATTTCTTACGTCACTCTTCATGTGCACCATGGTCCAGCGTCCGTCAGCGAGCTCAATCGAATTCTATGCCACAGCAAAGAAGAACATCTACCGGCAAGCGCTTGGAATTTGTGGCGTGGATTTCTCCACGTGCGTTGTTATTGCTTTCAGGCACTTGACTCCATTCGGGCGAAACACTCCAATCATTGGATGGACCATTCAGGTGAGTCGTACCATCCTTGTGACTATCCGTTGCACTTTCGTTGGCGGGCCACACCATAGCAGAACGTTCATTGCTCCACGGCCCAATAAATTCATGAACCTCTTGTGTGAGGAGGCTTTACGTCGACACGCTAGGTGCGTCACTTTTCGTCGCTCCAGCCCAAAACGCACCGTTCGGTTTTTCCCGCAATCATTCTCTCGTTGCACCTGGCACAGGTGCTGGCTAGCCTTGCGGCCGCGGCCGTCTTTGCCATCGTAACAGAGTTTAATTCGCCGACATCGCTTTCGAAGGCCCCAACGAGTCGTCTGAATTCGATCTCCGCCAATCGATGGTGGAGCCCCACGAACGGCACACTGGTACCGAAGTTCTTAAGGTCAGACGAGGCCCTGACTGCTGAAGTTCTCTTCTGGTTGAGCCCTGTGGTAGGAGTGCGAGATATACGTCGTAAGAGCTAGTCCAAGATTCCTAGACATACCCTATAGGTGTTGCCTTCTCGTAGAACAGTCCGAAACTGCAGTGAGCAGTGCGAACAACTATTTGTTTGCTGTGGATTGGTAGGGGAGCGGTACGGCAGAACCACCGGGTGTGCTGTTACTTCTGCGTCCTTGTAAGTATCTGTGCTCCCACGCCACGAAACTCTTTATGTTGGGCAACGAGCGGTGGTCGTTTTGGGTGGAAAACAAGAGTCTAGGCAAACGCTTCGAAAGTTGGGGTTGCGCCTGCCAAGACCAGTACCAAGGTGTTTCCAAAATAGGGGTGTACGCCGCCAACATATCGAATGACGTATCGAACCTCGACCCTGTCTGGTATACAAACAAACTCCGACGGTCAAATCGATAGCCCAGCACACCTTTGTGGGACCAGGTTGAGAGTTTGAACCTCGACAAGTCATGCCTTCCTCATTCCGCGGAAAATAGCTGGTTGTGGAAGCGATTGCTCAGACTTCTTCATCCTCAGAAACAGAGGCATACCCTATCGCGGAGGACTAGTCTGCATGATCCCTGATCGAGGTTCCTTTGTTCGAGATGCAAAGACCGCACGAAGGGGGGGGTCTGAGAGCTGTATTTTCACGTACAATCGGAAAAATGCGCAACAAATACGACTATTTGCTCACGTATAATCCGACGAGCGTGAAACAACTTGAAGCAACCCTTGAAGGCAAGCATGTCGGCTTATACGTCACGGTTTAAGGAAGCATTGATGAGCAATGAACACCTCATTGTTGCGATCATTTTATCAATGCTCTTCTCAGTCCGACGCCAATCTCATGTTTGCGCTCCCAGTTCATCGCACAGTCTCTCTGTGTTGGTCACTGAGGAAAAACGAACCATGCCGTGCATCACACCTAGTTGTACAACGTGGATGGATATTTCCCCCTGCAGAAAAGAGGACACAAACTGTCGTTAAGCTTAGGAACAAGTT